ATTTTATCATTTCAGTCATTATGCGTGGAATTCAGAGAGCCCTTCCTCTAGGAGAATAATGATGAGTGGTCCAACTGGTCAGGTTTCTCATTGTGCCTAAATTATAATAAACTGAAACAGTAGTGATGCATTAGCATTTTTAAGCTTAAATTTTACATAAACACACCTAAAAGTGTCTGAAGGATGGGAAATCTACAAATAGGCAATAATAATTATGTACTGAGGGAAAGAAGCCCTAGGCTAGACTAGGGGCAACTGAACTACAAAATGAATATATTTCTATGAGTCATTAAGTCTCTGGGGAAGTTTGAAACTAGCAAATGCAGGTAATTCTAAAATTTCTAGACTAAATCATTGGGAAAAGGGGAACCATTGATAGAGATCTACACTGGGAAGGAAAATCCATTTTATTAAGATGTTGATGAATTGGGTTTTAGATAATTTGAGTTCAAGGTGATGTCTACATATTTGGAAATTTCAAATTGGTATATAGAGAGGAAGTAGAATTTAAGAAACTAGGGGAAGTGCCTGGAGAACAAGAGCTGTTTGTAGTGCCCATTTTCAGCCTTATGCCCTGCCCACCATCTGGCACTCAATGATTATTTGTTGGTTGAACAATTGAATCTAGTTTAACACACTATTCCTATTGATGAGGAAACAGACACATAAAAAATGAAGTCAAAAATAACTCTCCTAGGGAAATACAACTACATAGGCTAGAACTGAAAGTAGAGCTCAATGCTTCTCACTCCTAGTCTAGTAGATATTTCTTTATAAGTATTATGTTAAAAAGTAAATGTTGAAAATAACTATCTTTGAGGTAAATACCAAACTTTACATTTTAATATGTATGTGAAAGTTTGTGAGCCTTGGAAGGTATATGGATGTCATACTGTCTAATTACATCTGACATTCCATATTTTAAATGATCTTATGGAAAAGATATTAAAAGTTAGGGAAATCAAAATGATGTTGGCAACTGAATTAAAAAATACATATACTACAAAAGTATAAAGACTAATGAGGAGTCCACAAACATAACATGGATGAATCTGGATGACATTATGCTGAATTAAATAAGTTCATAACAAAAGGATAAATTTGTGCGGTCCCACTATTATGAAAAGTTAGACAAACACATAGAAATATATGTTACTTGATGATGATCAGGGATGGGAGAGGGAGGTAGGGGATATCACTTTCTAGATGGTAGACACTTGCTATCTTTGGTGATGGGAAAGACAATACGAAATGAAGTCCTCACAACTTGACCAAAGTAAATGAAGACACTAAGAAGTACAGAAGAAAAAGGGACAACTTTGGTAAATGCTGTAAGATATTCAATTTTGCCACAACAATAACACAAGCAAAAATATGTATGTGGTTGCATAGGTAAAAGTGTATGCATGTATCTATAGGAAACCATGTGCATCATGCATAGGTGTAAGGATGTCTACAGTCATATGTAAATGCATGTTTGTGTGTGCTGCATATATATCCATAGATCTAATAAGGCATAGGGAACATAGTTATGAAGACTTCCTCGAAATATCCAAACAGCTCATGGAATTGGTTAACTGAATCGAAGGGCTTAGGACCATAGTTTTATGGGATAACTGAGTCAGTTGACCTGACATAGTTCACAAAGTAAGGGACCCTGTTATCTCAGTGGTTAAGCACTTGACTGCTGACTGAAAAGTTCAGTGGTTTGAACCCACCAGCCACTCCACAGGAAAAAAATGTAGCAGTCTGCTTTCATAAGGTTACAGCCTCAGAAACCCCGTGGGCAGTGCTT